GGGGTGTACGAACAGAGGAAAGTTTCATGATGATTTTTTTTATAATCGATGAGTTTTGAGGGGCGGTGGGTTTCTGGGTTTAGGGTTGAGGCTTTAGTGATTAGGGAGAGGACTGGAAGGGGAGAGGTAAGCTTTCAGCCGTAGGTTTTTTAAGCGTTGGGGGCTTAGGGTTTAGGTTTGAGGTTGAATTGTCTAAGGTTTGGGCTTTTAGAGCGTTTATCAGGGGCTTGGTTTCTGTTACGTAGTGGTCGTCGGTTCCTGAATGTGGTTCCCCTTACGTCGCGTGCTGGACCCTTACCCGCTATACTCGACAATTTCGTGCGATTTCCTGCCTGTCTACAATCACGAGCTCCCATTCTGGCGAAGAGGCGTGAGAACTCCGCACCCGCACGCCTCCTTGCAGACGAGCACCACAAGGCGGGAAGCTGTGCTGTGTTGAGTGGTCTTCCTGAGGATTCTAGAAGTGGTGTCTTTTTGATTATTTGTTCAGTGATGGCTGCGATGTGCTGGCCAGCTAATCTTTGCGCTGCTCAATGGGATGTAGTTGCTTTCTCGACGGCGAAGTATGATGTCCGCTTGGAGCAGTGCGCCATGGACGTAATAATGTTGTATTATATTTGCCCATCCTTTCCTCAACAGGTCCTTTCTAGCATCCTTCAGCCTTGAACCTCTCGTGGAAGGCATTTGTTTTTGTGAGCCTTCGCACCTCGAGCTCCTCCAGCGACTGCGTTTTTGAACAGGTCCGGAGTGGAACAGCCACGCCGGAGTTGTGGGAGCACGACGCGACTCAGGACGGACAACTAGAAGCCAACCTGGAAGGGCAGGCGCATTAAAATGACCCGGATCCTGCGCAGCATCTGCTGGCGTCTTGCTTCCAAAGCTTGCGGCTTTGAATAAGAGAAGCGTGCAATGCATGCCATGCCGTGACAAAGACATGGAGCCTTCCCGCGCGCTGTGTATGACTTTCGTCTTCTCCGCGAAGACCTCCCCGCCCTTTTCAAGATACTTCGCAGAAAGGAGCCGCATGTGGTGCACAGCCCCCTGATGGCTGCAGTGCCCATTTCCCTTGCTGGCCAGGCTCGCTCCGGGTAGAGGGGGATGAGATTCGGGGATTCGGAGCTTTTTTTGGTTGCTGCAGATTTCATAAGGATTGACTGTGTAAGCTGTTTGGCACTTCCCAAGAATCCCGCAGTAGCAAAGCCCAGAAGACTTCGAGGAGCTGCATGGGCTGCCTGTCGCCTACTCCTGCCTGCCGGCAGACTCTGGTGATCTCCTCCGGTGGCTCATGGCTGCTGGGCCCAATGCCTTCGAAACACTGCCCCCCCTAGGAAAGTGGCAGTTCGGAAGCCAGTAAGGGTGAAGCGGTGAAAGGGCAGTGTCGTTATCTGTGGTAATCGTTTTGTTCCGGAGCTGGCTTTGACTCTTACTGGTTGCGATGCGAGAATGCCAGCCTCCCTGGACGGCTGAGGATCATGCCATGAGAGGCTCAGCTGCAGATCATTTTGCGGCCTGTGTCGAATGAATCAACGGGGCGTGGGAACGCGACAGGGTTGTCTCGTTGTTGCATGTTTTTGCTACTTTACTCTTGCTGGCCCATATATCTCACGTTATCTGGCTATTACTATGCAAGTATATACCTCTATGATTATCATTATTGCTTGCTTTATGGCCATGCTCTATCAGTCGTGACCACCGTCACTACCTCTTGCCTCCATTGCAAGCGACCCACGAGCTGCAAGAAAGCTTGCTTTTGCCACTGAGATTCGGCTGCCCGGATCGCCAGCCTCGAGGATCGAGCCCGGATGCCAGCACTGCTGTGTGTGTGTGTGTTGTTAAACAGTGTTTTTGAGTTTTTTTTTGTGACGCTTCCAGGTTGGCAGCGTCTCTTCCATTCTGGCCACAGCTTTTAATCAATTGGGGTCTCTTGCGCTACAGCGGTGCTCAAGTCGTTCGGCACAAGACTGCTGTAACTAGGCGCCCTCAAACCATGTGACTCGAAGCCTCGACGATGAAGGCACCAGTGTCGAAGGCGCTACACGAAAAAACGAACTGAAGCTCTGCAGATCTGGCGGGTTTGGGATTTGGTATGTCCGCCATGAATCTCGAGGCTCGGTGGACGGCGTCCTAAACTGGCTCTTGGTAATCTCTGTTCATGCTTTCGGGTACAGTAATTAGTGGAGTGGGGTAGTGGGGTCATACTCCTCGGAGTTTCATACGCATTCATAGACTAGGGGGGCATGATACGAAACTTTCAGTCCGAGCATTCGTAGTCCCAAGTTTAAGGTGTCCTTGATCTCTCAGAAGCATGATTTTTGTGGGGATGCCGAGCCGCGCCGAGGTGGTCCACCTCGAGATGGCCAACAGCCAGCTCAGCAGCCAGCTCCACGCAGCGCTCAACAGCCACTCCTGGGCCGCTCAGTTCTGTTTGGCTTTGGAGTGCCGGGAAGCCGATTGGGTCTATGCAATCGATGTACCTCGCTCTGTCGTGATCAAGTGCGAACCGCTTCGTGACACCCAGGAATGAGCTGCACGTTTGCAGGGTGTGATGCCCCTGATGCTGAAGTGCTGAAGTGCTGAAGGATTTTTTTAGGGTTTTGGTAAAGTTGCTCTCGGGGCGAGCTGACCGACACAGCTGCGCTGTGCCCCAAAGAGTCTCCCTACCAAACCGGCGACCCACAATCACTTTGGATCCCAAGCCACTATCAACATCCGAGGGTGCCGCAGAGGCCCCAGGGCGGATCTAGAAAGACGGGGCACACTGCTAATTCTTCACTTGGTGACGATGTATCTCTTGGTCCCTGGTTGCTTTATGCACGAGTCACGAGCCTCAACAGTGTGGGTCTCAAGAGCACAGCGCAGAGGGGCTGCCCAAAAGGCCCTGGGAATGGCAGCCCCAAGTTACTCCCGTGTGCACAGGAAGTAGGTCTGTGTAGGTCCACCCTGGAGCGGCGGCATCAAGGGACTAACTTCGCACAGCACCCCATGGAGCTAGAAAGCGGGATTAAGCGGGCAAGGCGACTATGGGTTGGGACCAGAGCCGGCCCGGTGAAGCCACGGAAAAGGCTTGGGAAGGCCTGAGAGTCAGAAGAAGCTTGGAGATCAAAGCATCCTCGACAGCATGTTGTGTAGCTTCCGGGCTTCCTGGCTGCTCGGTCAGTATTTCTTCACGCGTAGTTAGGCCTGAGATGTTGAAGCCGCTTCGGCTCACCGTCAGTTGCGGGACCTCAGTTTATCAGTAGCAGGTTTAGAGTGACATCGTCTGAAGCTTCATTCGCATCAATACCTTTGCTTATTCGTCCACGTACTTCCCACCACTGAATAGGCCCCATCGACCTCGTCATTATTAACCCCGCTGTGGCATGACCATGACTGCTACCAGGCGTTACTACCAGACATTACCATTTCAATCTTCGTGCACCCCTGGCACTGCACTACTGCTGCCATTTTAGGATGTGCAGCGGGCCCTAGAGAAGTGTTCCAAGCCCAGAAAGAGGTCGAGCAACTGTCATCGAGCTATTTTACACAGAGTGCAGAGTAGTGGACGAGTCGGCAAGCTGTCTGCGAGCCATTGCTTTATTCAATGTGAATGTTGGACGTGACGCAGCACACACAGATTTCGCCCATGGGTGCAACCAGATCAGCAGCCACGTCCGTCCAGCCCTGGACAGCGAGTTGGGTCACGGCGCACTGGTCAGCAGCTGTGCGGCAGCATCCGCAGGAAAATCATGGTCAACTTTAGTATACTTTAGTACTAGGACACCTAGTCCTAATCATCGTTTTGTATAAGTACAATGGTCAGTACCTCCTGGGATCTCAAGCATCTTGACGCAGTTAGTTGAAACTTGAACCTTGGCATCCCAAGCTGGTGCATTCCCGAAGGCTGTTGTAGACAGCTGCTGTCAGTGGCCTGGCGGCCTCAGAGAGCACGAGGCCCCTCCACATGCAAGCGCCGCAGTGATTGGCAATGTCTACGGTAGTGGCTTTAGTTTGTGTTGTTGATGTTTAGCCCACAGCAGGATCCGGGCTGCTTCCTACAATTTCTCGGTTGATGGCGCAGCAGTGCATGTGCTCCCTCTGTAGCGGACATGAGGGGTCTGGCTGTACAGATACGTTGTTTCGGTAGTTCCGAGTTTGAGCCTTGGCGGACGGCCGTCCTGGAAGCCGCACAGCCTCGGAGCTCGGAATTTAGCTGCACTTTGGGCCTCTGCTAGGCTTCCATGCAGCCTCGCCAGGACTCCCACTCTTGGGGTGCCAGAGACAAGTCAACTACTAGTAGCGAGGCCAAGAACCGCCCCTTTGCACCCTTTACCTCTTTGCTCCATCTGCATAGCTTCAGCACCAGGTGAATGTCCGGTTTGGGCTTCGTTGTTTGGGATTCGATCGTTTTTAGCGCCGTCTTGCCGACTGCCTTTTGGCTCGCCCGCAAGATTGGTAGGCTGCGCACTCTGTCAGCACTTCTTGGCACCCCATGCGGGTAATTATTCAACTCACGGTTGCTGAAGGGATGCAGCTGCATGCCATTCATCGCAGATGTCCGCTGCGATCGGCAGGGGTGTCCCTCAATACCCAGCTGTAAGGTGTGACCGAACAGTTGACCCAGAACACTTCGGACACCGTGTGTCGTGGTCTTTCCTGTTGCGGTCCTTGCACCTTCCAGTTGTCAGAATCGAGTGCCAGGCATCGTGGTCTTTTGTTTCGCGAAGCACTGCTCGAGCTTCTGTGAAGTGCAGCGCGGTGTGCTTGAGGAAACGATCTCAAGCACAATCGGAGCTGGCACAGCGGCAAAACAGCATGGACGCATTCGTGCAATTAACGGCCCGACAACTCTAGAAACACTCACGCCGAACCTTTCAGGATAAGGCGGATAAGGGCAAGGATGTGCTCACAAGGCTTCTGAAGGGAGGCCTGTCATGATAAGCGCCTGGACCTAGACTCTTAGTTGTTGACTTCCTTTAGTGCCTTCGATCTTGCACGTGGTGCAACCCCGGCCGGAGCTGGAGGTTGGAGCCGCTGCTCAGGCACCTGTCTCCAGGCCTGTCACTGAAGAGTCGAAGTTCACCTGAGTGGTTCACAAATCCCATCAGTTTACAGTAATGCCACGGGCTTGCTGCTGAACCTTTCACTCGTAGCTTTGGCCCAGCGGAAGCCATGCCATCCAGGAGCCGTTCCAGAAAGTTGCTGGACACAGCTACGACGAATTCTGGCGGAGAGGCTTGTGAACCTTGGCGCAGCGAGGTTTTCAAGCCTGCTCGATACCGGTCCAATGCCAGTCTGGTAGCTGTTCGCCTTTCCACCGAAAACGTTTGGGACAGAAAGAGCCTTTTCTCGATGCGAGGCCCGCGCAGATGGGCGAGGCCTCCTTACTGGCTTTTGCATCCCGAGCAGATTCCAGGGTTCAGGGAGAAGGCTTCAGTCTGATGAGCACAGCACATGCACGTCCGTGGTCAATGCTTCAACTGAGCAGGGCCACTTTGTTGTTGTCTCGATCCAAGGCAGAGAAAAAAGCATATAAACGTAAACTTTCCGTATGGGGACACCGCAGTAGGGGCAGGTAGCCAGAGGGTCGGAAGGCAGATGCCCGCGAGTGAGCACATCTATCTTCTCGCTGCATATGCATTCGGCATTGTAAGCGCTTGTTTCAAACATAAGTCCCTGCTTTTGTTTTGGCGACCCACATACACTCCATTATCAAGCCCGCGGACATCCCTGCAGGACACCCGGACGTTCGAGAAAGAAGGGTTGATACTTATATTCATGTGCTTGTTCGTGCCCCTGACTGCCCTAACTCACTGAACAGTAACCTCTGACAGCGAGTTTCTACTTCGGTACAGAGGTGCTGCTTCCGCATGAGAAGCCAGAGTGTGTGTCTAGATCATGTACGAGCTAATGCAACTTAACCGCTGTCAGCCATCAAATTCATGTGTCCAGGATTCTACAGAGGCTGTCAAGGAGGAGATGCAGGCAGGTCCGCGACCATGTCGTGAGCCAGGTGTCTGCGGCTATTCACTAAGACGCAGCTGCATGTCGTGGTGTGCTTCCGAGCATGCATTGCTGCATTTGCCATGTCAGAGACAAGTCGGCTTTTGACCGAGATATCGGCTTGTGCCAGGTGCCTGCTGCTGAGCTGGCCGAGCTCTCTGCAACTTTCCAGAAGCTGCACAGGACCCCTTGTTTGGCGACTTCAGCTCCAGGCTCGGGCTCATGCGAGCAGTGTGAAGTGGCTTGAGGATTACCACCGAGCTCTCCCGGCCGGTCCAGAACATGGATGAGGCGACCGGGCTTTCTTCACTTCGGTGCCCGGGTTTTGAGTTCTTGATATCCTTGTCGGTTGTGAAGTGACTCCCCGTGGGTAGCAAGTCTCACACCCTCCCTGTCGCCTTCTCAGGCTCAGAGCGTCTGTTTGAGACACGCCTCGGCCACAATGGCATCAATTGCATGCACGACCCGTTGCACAGGTCTTGCTGCCACTGCGACAGGCAGCGCAGATACTGTTGCGACCACAGGCACGGCAGGGGTGAACACTTTTGTCCTTCGGCAGTCTTCATTATTCATGGTTCTTCATGCGCTCAAACCACCAGTGCAAGTACAAGGGAAAGTGCTACTACACGGTTTGCAAGGCCAGCACAAGCGGGAGGATCTCACTGCCTTCTTTGCTTGAGAAGCTTTCTTTGCTGGGAATTGCCAGTTTCTGAGTGCAACGAGCATTTCGTTGATGCCCTGGATTTCGATCCCGGAAGCGCATACATCGAGGTTTGACCAAACGGGTTGTCAGCCTTTGGTCTACTTACTCGTACCTGGTCCTAGGACCGTGAACGGAAGGGGCGATAGCACCTCCCTCGTGACTCCGCTCCCAATCCTGAACACTGTGAACGATATCAAAGCCCGGGCCTCGTAATTAGCCGAAATCAAGGAGGAGGCAGCCAGAGGGCCTTTTCAGCATCCCACACCTGGTTAAGCCTTCGCAATTAGGTACGTAACTATGGGGAATTGCAGAAAATCAAGACATGTGCGGCATCTCGGTGTACCGAGAGCCATGAGAACAAGAGCCCAAATTTCGATTCGCGCTCGCCTGGCCGGCCTGGCCCCCACGTTTCAGCGCTCCGGAGGCCCATGGCCCAATCCGCGGCTTCCTTCGCCGGCTCCGCCTGCGCCGCGGTGCCAAGGCGGGAGCCGGCTTACACAGACTATGACATGGCAAAGAGAAGATGAACATGACAAGTGCGTAGTTGTATACCATTGATACTGTTGTGGTTATTTTTGTGTTATCACTGCAAATTTGGTCTAGAGTATAGTTGTGCATACGTGAGAATTGCAATATCTCCGCTTAATTGAACTGACAGTGGAAGTATGGCGCCATGCTAGCTGGGGTCGAAGCTGACTTAGCAGGGCCGGCGTGGTGCTTCATGTCTCTTCTGTCCGGCAACGCTTGAGGAAAACATGGTGCCACAGTCCAAGACTGGAAGACTTCAAAAGCCGCCAGCAGATGATGCCCGGCAGCAGCTTCTACGTGAAGGCGGATTTTGCCTCCCTACCTCCCTCCCTCCCTTCCCTAGTTGCCTGCCTCCCTACATTCATACCCGTTTTCCTGCCTGGATATGCCGGCCGACCCTTGCAGCCTAACTGGGGAGCCCAGCGGATTTTGCATCTTGTCTGAGTATCCAGTGCGCCTTGAGTTCCCCTTGCGGCGAGCGCTTCCTGTGGGCGAATGCCTGCAAGGACTATGCATGTGCTCGCGAACAAGCTGCCGATGAGGGCTTGGTAGGCCCAGAGTGCTGAGTTTTTCTGTTCGCGTCTTGAAGCCTCTGGGTCCAAGGGCTAGGCAAGCAATGCTTCAGACATCACGTGCAAAGCTGCAAGTCAGCAGCTCGCTACCACTCGGCTTGCATAGGATATCCCGCGAAAGCCGCATGTCGGCAGAACTGTCCGGTGTCGTCGTTTCAGATGCTTTGGGTGCTCCGAGGCTAGTTTATATGCAAGCAAGTAGACATCCGCATGTGCCTGTGTGCATAATCGACGGACTTTACAAACCGCAACCTTTCTATGTGTCTTTTGGTCGTTCCGTTTCTAAACAATGTCTGTACGACATTGTAGGGTGTGCAGCGGTGTATAGCTTACCAGGCAAATGTCTGCTTTGAATTCGACGAGGTGCCTTCCCTTCTTCGCTCTTTGGGCCTCTGCGTCGGCTCCTGGGTGGCCCGGCGCCAGTGCAGCGTGGAGCTGCCGAGGCGCTCCCGCGCCCAAGGACGAAGTACAGGTTAAAGCTACTAACAGCTAATTAGTGCATACTGTCACTATCCCAGTGCGTGTCGGTATGATGCGTTTGTAGTGGCCCGTAGTGGTGTGTACCTCTGTACTCGTATGTACGATAGTTGGTGAAACTGATGCAGGTAAGACGGTGTGTGCAGACTTGTAGGAGTGGGGCACACATGCTGCCCGCCGAATCTATGAATCACACACAGAGTGGCACGCTTTTCCGCATGAAGCAGGCCTATCTGCTGGCTTTTGCTGTCAGCCATTGGCTTGTCGAGGTCGAGAGTTTGTCTGAGCTCTCTCCAGAGCTGGTTGACCAACTTCTCGAGCACTTCGTCGATCCTATGCATGCGGCGTATGTCCCTATTGTATCGATATCAGAATATACCTGTCTCTTTCCCTCTCCCTCTCTTTATCTGCGCACGTGTCAGGATGAATCCACGGTTTAGGCTTGATCTAGCCATTGCTCGCCAGGCAGTGACTGCTTGCTGCTGGGCTGCACACGGCTAAGCTAAGCGCAGCACATGCTTGGCCTTCATAGTTCCAAAACGTCCCCTCTACACCGAGCTCAGCATTTTTCAATCCATATGACCAATCACTGTTCTAAAGACTATTCCCTTCCTTAACAAATGATTCCCTGCGGTCTTGAAATTCGACATGGGCCGACAGTGTTTAGTACTAGCCTTTGGAAACACTAAATCCTCGTTAAACCGTTGACAGAGTCGTTCTACTGCCCAATTCCACAACCTATCTGTCTTCGACCTGCTGCGATTCCATGAGCACCACAAGTCCAACAAAGGCGCCCGCGCATGCGGCGCTCCTCTCCTTCGTGGGCTCTTGGGCCTCGCACCCCTGCTGCCGGGGCCTCCGGAGCTGAGCTTTTGCTTCGGGAGCTTGCAGGGGGCTTCTGTGAAAAGCTTTCATAGTACATCGCATGGCGCTTTGCAAGTCCGAGCAAGAGTTGCGCTCCCAGGTTGAAAGTCGCGTCCTTCAGAGGACCCGCACAAGGTTCACTGGGTTCCGAGCTGCTGAGGTGTAGAAGGGGTTTCGATTCCTTTGCTGTGCGATTCCCTGTTGGGGTACGGTTAATGCAGACAGTGAGCCTATTGTTACAGGCCCGCCTTCGTGCACTAACGAGGACGGCATTCCCATCTATCAGCGTTCTTGTTAATGTTGCTGATACCGCCCCAATGGTTGTTATGGCTCGGGATTTAGAGGTCGACAGCTCTGGCGGTTATCATGAATGCTTGCAGTCTAGGGCACTTTCAGTTCGGGTTGGGGATTTCGGGTTTCGACAGCAATGATATGTCCATATGCAGGTCGTCAGATCTTTTGAAACTGTCACTAGTTTCTGCACTGACAAACAGTTAACCCTGATCGCTTTACGACGACAGCCTTGCAGGCGCGGCGCGTGCGGCGCTGGCTGAGATGAGCAGCCAGAGCTGGAGCGGTTTTCGGGCCACCTGGCGGGCGCTGATGCAGGCCTCCCGAGGTTTCCTTGGAGTTGAAGCGTAGTTGAGTCGGGAGTTCAGGATATTTCAAGATGGATGTCTGCCTCCGTCTCACGGTCTCAAGAGTTGGGAGCATTCCGAAAATTTGATGTGGCGGCTTTGGGCCCGCAGAGAGGGTGTTCCTGAAGTGGCAGAGGCCATCTTGGCCTCCAGCGGCAGCCGAAGGTCACCGGGTCTTTCGGGCATGGTCGACCAGGTGCCTTGCAAGCTCTGCGGCTTTCGGACTCGGCGCTAGGCAGAGAGAGCACGCAGGGAGCAACTGCAGCCACCCCTTGGCCTAGAAGTCCTTGGCCGGAAAGGCGAACGCCGTTTGAGCCAGGGGGTTAGGGCCACAAGTTGTAGGCCTTCCACCCGAAACTCAGGGCTCAGGGCAGCTCTTGGAAGTCTTCCGGGCCCTGGAGGACCCGGCAGGGCAGATTGCCTAATGCTTTCGGAGACTCTTTGTTCAGTTGCTGACATTCGCTCGCCAGCACTTTGAGCCAGGTTTTCAACTGTGGATAGCCCCCTCGTCAAAAAGCCGGCACCTGCACACGAACTGCTGACGAAGCAGCAGTGTGCAGGAGGTTTGGCCACAGCTCTCCGAGACCAGTGATGATGCGGCGGCTCGGCAGGCCGTGAGTTCTCAACATGTCCCGAGCAGATGTGGGGGTGCCAGGGATGCACATGCAATGCAAAGGAATGAGTCCCCGCAAGTCACATTCTGCTGAATGCTGATTGCGCCTGTCTTCTTGTTCTGTTGGTTCTTGAGACAGCTGGGTGCTCATGATGCTGGCGACAGCTTCCAACTCTGCCAAAGGCGCCGTCCTCGTCAATCCGATCCCGACGTGGTTGTCCGCATGAGGGCCTTTTCACATCCACGGAACAGCAAGAACTGCAGTTGCTGACAGCCTCGCCGGCCATCGCACCGCAAAAACCCGTGCCGTCGCTATCCGCCAGCTTTCGGCACTCAAGTCAACGTCGACTATCCTCAGGATGCCCACATGGTCGTAAAAATCTCTCGGGCGGGCTCTTCCCAGAGCAGCGATGGAGATTCTCCTGCGGGGCCTCATCGCGCCGACGGTTTGGACGGGCTTCGTGAACATCTCCTTGATGAGCGACGCGCCCGCTGCAGGTTCACCATGAGCCTGCACGTCCGTCGAACTCTTGTCCAGAGGCTCGGCAGAGAGCACGGCCGGAATCGGGCGGCACGAAGCTGTGCCCAACGTTCGCTGTCGTCCTGCTCCACCTGAAGCCATTCGGGGTGTTCCATAGGGACTAAGCAAGCTGCCAGCCTCCCATCAAGATGAGAACGTTTACCAGCTGATGCTCATGATGCTCATGCGGGGTGTCGTTGTGCTGGAGACGTTTCCCAGCTATGATGCTCGGGTAGGTGGCATGCACAAGCTGCCCGCACGTGTTCAGGACGAGAACGTTTCGCAGCTGATGCACATGCTGCTCATTGGGGTGTCGTCGCTATCCTGCAGGCGTTTCGCAGCTGATGCTGATGATGCTCGGATAGGTGGCGTTTCCCAGCTGACGCTGATGATGCTCGAGTAGAGGACGAGAAGGTTTGCCGGCTGATGCTGATGATGCTCGGGTAGAGGACGAGAACGTTTGCCAGCTGATGCTCATGATGCTCATGCGGGGTGTCGTTGTGCTGGAGACGTTTCCCAGCTGATGCTGATGATGCTCGGGTAGGTGGCTCTTTCACTGATGTACAAGCTGCCAGCACGTGTTCAGGACGAGAACGTTTC